TTCTCTCTTTCCATCAATTGTCTATCTAGCAATATAATCGTTATCTCTTTCAACCTCCAACAAAGTCAGCAGAACACCATAATATGGGCACACTTGCTGCAGGCCATAACATTTCTTTTGAGTGTTTTGAATAGTAGGTCATGCATGAGATATTGCTTATGTCATTTTAAGAGTACATTCTTCTTAACACATTCAACATTGAAAGAATTGTCGTAAAGAATATTTAATTCTTACATGTTGCTAACATAGAATAACAATACACTCTGAATAACAAAAGATACAAAATAAACTAAAACATGAACATGTTATGTAATAAAGAAATTTATTAAATGAAATTAAATCCCTTGGCCAAAATCATCATGTAATATACATGCATGTCAAATACATATACGTGTAAGTAAAAGTGTTGCAAATGTTGCATGTGCAGAAAGAATACAACACCATGTCTACAAAACACTTTTCAGGAGATGTCAGGCAGTTTATAAAATAAATTACGTAGATTAGAAAATAAATGAAAACTGGAATTCTTCATGAATCCACTGTTGGAGGACTCTCTTTCTTACATGTGATTTCCTTCCACTACTCCTTTGTTCCTCCCCACAAAAAAATAAAGGCAAAAATCACCCAGCACTGAATGTTAAGAGAACACTGTAGCATTAGGAATAGATATCTGTTTGTCCCTACTTAGTTCTAGTGGCCTCCTCGGCATGCAAAAAATAATGTAAATAGACCACTTTAATCATGGCTTTAAAGCAAATAATAATGTTTACTTGCATTTTAGGTGAAAGATATTCTCAATAAATGAGCCTTTTTTCCTGTTACAGAGATGGAAACTAACAGAAAAAATATTTTAATCTGCAGGTGGGGCTGAAAATGAATGGTCATTCATTTTTTTAAAATTGATTTAAAGAAACATAGTATTAAGCAGATATCAAATAATTACATCTGTATGTCATAAGGAAATGCAGGCTTTTCATTTCGGTTAGACATTTGGTCTACTACAAGGGTGCCCAAAAGGTAGATCCCCTGCTTAGAGGCGTATCTGGAGCATTTGGCACCCAGGGTGTATCTTATATTTGGCACCCTCTCCCCCCTACCCCCCCACACACACACATTTAAGATGTACAAAAAACACTCACAAATTTAAAAAAAATGTACTTAACATTGAGCAGTGTTTGTATTTTTTTATGTATTTAGCACTGAGCAGTGTTTGTGTGTTTGAATGTAAGCATGTTTTGTATGAAGTATGTGTGAGTGAATGTAGGGGTGTGTTTACATGTAGTGTTGGAATTTAAATGCAGGTGTGCATTTTTGTGTAGTGTGGCCTTTTAATATGGTGGTGTCTTTTCATGTAGTGTTGATATTTGGATGCAGGGGTGTTTTTGTGTGTAGTGTTGACAAAATGCTGAGATGTATGCACAAATACACATATACTCAAATATACACACACTGGCACACATGCAGTTACATAGACAAACAGATGCACACACTGGCACATACAGATACACAGACACATAGGTATACACATGCAGATACATAGAAACACTGTCATGCACAGATACAGACAAATACTGACACACATACAGATAGAGACACACAGATACAAACACACATATAGATACAAACACACACAATTACAGACACACACTGACACACATATACAGAGACACGCATACAGAAACACTGAGATACAGATACAAACACTGACACACAGATACAAACACTGACACACAGATGCACAGACACACAGGTATAAGTGTGTGTGTTTATTGTATGCAGTGTGTGTTTTTGTAGTGTATGCAGTGTATGTGTTTGTGTATTTTATGCAGTGTGTGTATATAGTGTATGCAGTATGTGCAGAGCCGCCACCAGAAATTTTGGGGTGCCTAACTGAGCTCAGGGTCTGGGCCCCTGGTGGCCCGCCTCCAAAACCGTCAACAGAGACCGCCTCCAAATCCTGCCTCCAAATCCCGCCTACAGAAATACACACACAGACACAAACACATTCACTGATACAAAAGGACACAGATACACACACACACACACTGATACATACTAACAGACACACATACTGATACGCATATAGGCATACATACTGACACACACATACTAAGACATACACACATATACAGACACACAGGCGTACATAGTGACAGACACATACTAACATACATACAGACACATGTATAAGGACATACAGACACATTCATAATGACATACAGACAGACATTCATACTGGCATACATACATTCATACAGACAGAGAGACATACACACATTCATAATGACATGCAGACATGCATACACTGACATTCATACACACATAATGACATTCATACAGGCAAAATGACATGCATACAGGCATACAGGCATACAGACATACATACATACAGACATACATACAGACATAATTCATACTGGCATACATACAGTCATACAGACACTGACATCCATACATACACACATTCATAATGACATACAGACATACATTCATACTGGCATACATACATTCATACAGACAGACAGACATTCATACAGACACTGAAATCCATACATACACACACTCATAATGACATGCAGACATACATGCACTGACATTCATACACACATAATGACATGTATACAGACATACAGACATGCATACAGACAGACATCCATACATACATACATACACACAGACATAGACATACATACAGACATACATACAGACATACATTCACATACACATACACATACACATACACATACACATACACACACAGCTAATTTTCCAGCCACACTCCTGTCTCTTACCTTGTCTTTGCAGGAGGGTGGCTGGGGCTGATGGGACTGGGAGTTGAATGGCTCTCCCTCTTCATTGCCGGGCACGTGCTCCTCCCACGCGGAGTGAGCTGGGAGGAAGTGACCACTTCCTCCCAGCAGCACTTGCGCTGCAGCGGCATTTAAATTTTTTTTTAAAAGGGCCCGGTCGCGCTATACCACGGGCACAGCGCTGACCGGCCTCCTGAAGATATGGGGCCCATCAGGTGGCCCTAAGTGTGTGGGCCACCCGATGGGCCCCATCGGCATGCGGGCCCTGGTGGAACTGCACCGGCGGCAGTTCCGCTGCTACATGAGGGGCCTGTGAAAACCGTTATGATTGTCACCCCCTGATGGCGCCCTGAGTATGTGTATATGTGTGTATGTATAGTGTGTATGCAGTGTGTGTGTATAGTCTATATAGTGTGTGTGTGTGTATAATGTGTATGCAGTGTGTGTATAATGTGTATGCAGTGTGTGTATAGTGTGTATGCAGTGTGTGTGTGTGTGTATAGTGTGTGTGTGTATAGTGTGTATAGTGTGTTTGCAATGTGTGTGTATAGTGTATGTGTATAGTGTATATGCAGTGTGTGTGTATTGTTTGTTTGTGTCCCCCCCTTGCCTGTGTCCAGGGAAGGGGAAGCACTACATTCCCTGGTGGTCTAGTGAAGAGGGGCCCAGGAGTTTCCACATTCGCTTCACATTTAGCACTAGCATGTCCTCTGTTCTCGCGCTCCAAGAGAACATTGCCGCGGGTTGCCATAGCATAGCAGATCACGAGAACAGAGGCTATGCTGCTGCTGAACGTGGAGACTCCTGCAAGCGACCCGGTCCCTGTCCAAGTGCGCCCTGGGCACCCTCCTAGTAAGTGGCACTCATGGCGGACCGCCCCAACGCCCCCCCTTTAGTACACCACTTTCCCAGCTTCCACGATGATTTGTCATTCTAAAATCATTCTAAAATCATGCGAAGCATCATGGGAGTTGTAGTTCGACAACATCTGGGGTTCTACCTATTGGGCACCCCTGGCCTACTATGTGCTTAGACCCCTTTTCATCTCCTCCCTTACACCAGCGACAGTTCAAATAGGCCTGTACTTCTAAATCCAGTGCAGTGAGATATGGGGAAGGGCTCTCCCTTTACTTAAGGCAGTGAGATTCACAGGTAATGTGTGTTTGTCTAGTAGGTAGGGAATAGCAAAGCATATTGTTCACAGAATGCAAGGATAACATATTTTGTTCTGTATTTTGGCAGTGTAGTGGTTAGTATGTTATATTATATATGAACTATTTTTTCAGGAGACCCTAAGACAAAATTCATACAGACGGTCATATACTATTGTGATAAAGAGCTGTCCCTTGACTATCCCATTTTATTTAATTAAATTGCCTGCTGATACCTAAGAGACAGTATAATGATGTTATAGCTGCTTCATCTGTCAATTGAAAAAGCAACCTTGGGAGAAGTTATTTTCTCCACTTTTTTTTAGCAGTTGTTTTCTTGCACCACATGTTTATGCTAGGAGATATTTTTTTCTACTTGAAATACATGCACTGAAGAATTACATTTATATAAAGTCAATGGGACTATGATATTGCTACTGGCAATTGTAAAAGCAGGACACCTGAAGGAGTCCACTGGCCCCAGAAAAAAAGTGTTAAAACTTGACAGGATTGTTTTAAGATTAGCAGCAGATGTAGAGATGTCTATGCCTGTCGCAGATATTTTTTTTTGTCCTCTGCTGTTTCTCTCAAAGCATTTCAGCTCCACATTTCAACCATTTAATTTATTTAGCAAAAAAATGGTAGAGGGGCGGGGCCTGACCACAGAGCTGAGAGAACACTACCTCAACAGCTCCTGTAGCAATCAACAAATAAAGCAGATTTTCACAGACAAAATGGAGATCAATCGTGACAAAAAGGCCACCAAACGTGGGGTGACACCGAGAGGAACAATATGATACCACCTAAGCAACATTACGAGCATAATCCACTCGGCAAAGGTTAGAGGCCTACACGCATGGAATGCGTGGGAGAGAGGCGGCCGCTTTCCCGACTCCACAACGAGCTGAATCTGCGTACATGGGTCTTCATCCCCCCCGGACTGATGGGGGTTATGCCAGTCTGCCCTCACACAGAGAGCACTCACCTCTGAGATGCTCTAGGGCGCAACTCTGACCAGGAGCCACGAGGCAGAACCAAGATGGCCGACAGCACCGCAGCTCTCACAGAGCAACAGAATGTCAGCGACTGGGCAGCGGCTTTTCAGTCAAAATTCAACGCCGTATGCAGACGACCCTCTCACACCCAGCTGGATTACCCGGATGCCCCTTCTCCAACACGGAAGTGGGGGAAACCCGAAATTGTGAATCTACAGAGACCTGACTCACCTTCTGGTCCACCACAAGCATTTCCCATACGGGACGCCACAAGCAAGCAAAGCCGAGGGGAGCCCCGAGCAGCACGGCAGAGATCATCACCGCAGCCGATACGCCGGGCCACTGTAGCAGTTCTACGGGTGCGCCTGAGCCTCCCTCACTGATATGCTATGACTCAGCGGAGGCCTCCACGACCGGACTGTGCAAGAAACAGACGGTGCACCAAGGGGCTAAAGAAATCTACTAAATCTACATGCAGGCCCAGCTCTCCAGAATCGGGGGAGCGAAGTATGCAACCACCTATTCCGCTCCTATACCGCCCCAGCCAGCTACACTGGCCCAAGCTAGGGCCACTTCACCTGAGACTCTTGTGCTACCGGGTCGGGGACCCCCCACTCATTGGCATCGGCTGAAAGGGCCTAAGACAACACATATGAACTCCCACAGCTAATACTTATTTCTTTGAGCTGCTTGATTTATATGTTGGTTTTCTCTTTTTTCATCACTAGTCTTAGCTAGATTTGTTTATTTTGTTTTCTTTGCATGGTTTTATGCCTTTCATTATATTCCTAAAAAATTGGGCATGTTCTCCCTAAATGCCTCTTTCCATGTCAGCCATTTTAGGATGGTATATCCCTCGAGTTACCCATGCAACCATTTATTTTCTACTGAATGTCTATGCCTGACTCTAGCTAGCTATACTCTACAGTTGACAGGGTAGACCTGCTTTCATTTCTATGCCTAATCTAGATAACGAATACCTGTCAATATGGCACAAACTATACTCATAGCTCTCGTACACTCTTCACTGACATGACTCTATCTACTCTACCGTCAGTTTGAATAACCTGATTATTTTCATGCTTATTAGTGACAATCTACTGACATATTTACAAATGTTCGCTTATGTTATACTGTTGAGATCTTGAAACACCAAATATTAAAAAAATTTGCTAGTTCTAACCATGCCATACTTCAGTTACATTATGCTTCTTACGACCGCGCTTGTGAATGCTGTTGGGGCTATACAAGCACTGCTGTACATTAGTACAATTTTCACAACAAAAATTAAAAAATATAAAAAATAAATAAAAATGGTTAAACAGACCAAAGACAAAAAAATGAAAGAAAAGTGGAAAAGAGTATTTAAAAAAATAGATAGTAAGCGACATATATAAAATTTTTTTTTATAAATTTCCAGTCTACATTAACTAACTTCAGGATTTATTTTAAACGTAATAAAATATTTAGAGCAGAAGGCTCAATGCAGGTTAGAAGGTGAAAAAATAAAAATGTGCTGGGGGTGATCTGAGAGCTCTGCACAATCCGTTCTAAATCCAGCACCTACCTGAAGCATCTAGACCCAAAAACATCCAAACCTGTTCCAGGATCTGGAACGAAGCAACAGCACAAAAAACGTGGGCAGCGGCAGGAATCGCATCCCAGCGTACTGGAGCTGATGGCGGTTTCCCGCCTGTTGCAGGCCTCACAAGATGGCTGCCAAGAAAGCCTACACTTTTTTCCACCCCCGTGTCCAAGGCAGGTGATGACAAGCCTGACCCCCAAACAGGGGAGACGTCCCAAATCCTCCAGAGGCTCAGGAGGTAAAGACCTACCTCGCCAGCGAGATCTCCCTCAACACAAGAGAAGTGAAGGCGGAGATACAGGCCCTGGGGGCCTGCACATCCCACCTAGAAAACAGGGTAGAGTTGGTGGTCCGGGCACAGAACAAAGCGATCATGCATGCAGAGCTCATGGCCCAACAAATAGATCAGCTGGAGATGCAGGTGGAGGATCTATCGAACCACTCCAGGTAGAACAACATACGAGTCCGGGGCCTCTCAGAGTCACTCATGAAGGGGCCGTTGGTCCATAAGATGGCGGAATATTTTAAACACTTATTACCGGGCATCCCGGAAGACAGATGGGAGATAGACAGACAGGGCCACAGGGCGCTGAGGGCCCGGAGACAGGAGGGAGCAGCACCATGAGATCATCCGATTCCACTACTACTCCACCGAAGAGGCCATCATGAAATATGGCAGAGACAATATCCTGCAGTACAAAGAGGCAGAACTGGCTCTATACCAAGTCCTCTCTCTGATGACCCTACAACGCAGGAAAACCTAGAAGCCCATGGCAGATTTCTTGCGCAGACATGAGGTCCGATATACCTGGGGACACCCCTTCAAACTTGTGGCCTTTCGTGAAGGCAAAATACACACATTGCTGCCAGGAGCCGACCACGCACCTGTCACGGTAGTATCCCCCAACACGCAAGAGTAGTCCAACAAGAGACAAGATAACAAGATAACCGGGCCTTAGAATGGCCGGACTCGACGTGGACAGGAAAAGACAGAGTCAGGAACGAGCTGAGGTCAAGGAAACAGAGAGACAGTGTAAACAAGAACTAGCCAAGGACTGGTACACAGGAGTCAGGAAACCGGCGAACAAGACAAAGCAGGGATAAAGAGAAAAATGGAGTCAGGTACAAAGCCAAGGTCAAGCACGAAAAAAACACTACTACACGAAGCAAGCACTAAAGGGAACTGAATCAGAAACCACGATAGGGTAGGGAGCTAAGGGAAAGGTGAGTATAAATACCTACTAGTTTAATTTGATTGGCCCTTGTCATATCCACGCCCACAAAACGTGAGTGTATGGGGAATGTAGAATGACATGGGCCAATGGGAGACCTTTTTTTTTATTTTTGGCTCCCACTGTCCCTTTAAAAGCGCACCCGATATGCGTGGTGCGCTCCCAGTGCCAGGCAAGTCACGTGGTCGCTTCTCGCGGTCAGTGCATGCCTTCCTGATTTTCCCGTCGTAAGAGCCGCACGCGGCTCGTGCAGTTGCAGGACCGTGCGCGGCGGGGTAAGAGGACCTCGCCTGGCCCCTGGAGAGGGTAAGTACTACTACAGTACCCTCCCCTGCAGACACACCCACCGGGCAGGAAGGACCCGGCCTGGCAGGAAAATGAGAATGGAAGGAGCGCAGAAGGCGAGGAGCATGGACAACGTCAGTGGAAATCCAACTGCATTCCTCTGGCCCATATCCCTTCCAATGCACCAGGTACTGGAGGCGACCCCGGAGAAAAGGAGAGTCAAGCACGGCAGCCACCTCAAATTCCTCATGACCCTCCAAAGAAACAGGAGGAGGAGGAGGAACATATTGGGTATAACGGTTACACAGGAGTGACTTCAACAAGGAGGTGTGAAAGACGTTAGGAATACGCAGGTTACTGGGAAGATCCAAGGCATAAGAAACAGGATTTTACTTTATGCAAGATAAGAAAAGGACCGATAAAACGAGGATCCAGCTTTATAGAAGGCACACGAAGGCGGATGTTACGAGTAGAAAGCCAAACCCTATCCCCCACAACATAGGATGGAGCCGCTCTGCGATGTTTGTCAGCCTGAACCTTTTGACGAGCAGCAGAATCCAGGCTGAACCTGCTCCCAGGTAGTACGTAAACCGTCCAAATGCTCATCCAGAACTGGCATGCCCAGCAAGGTGAATGCAGATGGAAGAACCACAGGATGCCGGCCATAAACAACGTAGAAAGGGCTATTACCGGAAGATTCATGAGTAGCGCTATCACAAGCAAACTCAGCCCAAGGAAGCAGGTCAGCCCAATTGTTCTGATGGTGGGATACGAAACAACGAAGATACTGCTCTAGGGATTGGTTGGCACGTTCAGCAGCTCCATTGGACTTGGGGTGGAAAGCTGACGAAAACAAGAGAGAAATACCCATCTCTGAACAAAAGGCTTTCCAGAATCTTGAAATAAACTGGCTACCCCTATCGGACACTATAGACTCTGGTATACCGTGTAACCTAAACACCTCCCTGGCGAAGATAGAGGCGAGTTTCTTGGATGAGGGCAATTTGACAAGAGAGACAAAATGAGCCATCTTAGAAAATCTATCCACGATCATCAGGATGACTGTTTTACCATTCGAAGGGGGCAACTCAACAATAAAATTCATGGACAGATTAGACCAAGGCTTCTCGAGTATGGGTAATGGATGCAACAACCCACAAGGAACTCTATGTGAAGACTTCATACTGGCACAAGTAACACATGCCTGTACGTAATCGGTGACATCCTTGCGCAAGGAGGCCCACCAGATATATCTAGAAACTGCTGTTAAGGTTTTAGCGATACCAGGGTGACCAGCGATTCTGGAGTCATTATAGAGTGACATGATTTCCTGTCTTTCAGGAACATCGACGAACAATTTATCAGCAGGTTTCTCTCTAGGTGCCTTGTTTTGTTTAGCCTGTATGACTTGCAAGATGGATGAAGAAATAGAAAGAACAGTAGTAGCAATTATTCTGTCCGGGGGGAATGACAGGGGTATCATCAAGCTCCTGTTTGTCGGTTGTTTTGAACTGTCTGGGCAGAGCGTCAGCTTTAGTATTACGATCACCCGGTCTGTAGGTGATGATATAATTGAAACGAGATAAAAACAGAGACCACCTGGCCTGCCTAGAAGACAATCTTTTGGCTTCACTAAGGTAGGAAAGGTTTTTATGATCGGTAAGTATGAGGATAGGATCCTTAGTGCCCTCCAAAAGATGTCTCCATTCCTTAAGTGCTAAAATAATGTCAAGGAGTTCCTGATTGCCTATGTCATAATTCGTTTTGGCTTTAGACATCTGCTTGGAAAAGAAACCACACGGATGTAAAGGCCTCTCTGGAGATTCTCTTTGAGACAATATAGCACCCACCCCAATATCTGAAGCATCAACTTCAAAAATAAAAGGCAAAGAAGGGACAGGATGCTGTAAAATAGGATCAGAAGCGAATGCAGTTTTAAGAAATTCAAAAGCCTCAATCGCTTCCGGGGTCCAGACATGAGTATTACCATCCTTTTTAGTCATTCAGGTTATAGGCGCTACAATGGAAGAAAAACCTTTAATAAAGTGCCTATAATAATTCGAAAAACCAAGAAAATTCTGAATGGCTTTCAAACCCTGATGTAGAGGCCATTCCATGATAGCAGAAAGTTTCTTGGGATCCATACGAAAACCCTTAGCAGAGATTACATAACCCAAGAATTGGACTTCGGATTGATCAAATGAACATTTTTCAAGTTTACAATATAGACCATTGTCGTCCAAGTACACAATTACGAATGTGTGTATGTACTCTCGTAGGA